TCTAGCAACAGTCTAGGAAATATCTGCTGTCCTGGAAGCTTCTTGCCCAAAGCGGCTCCCTTTATGGTCACCTTGGGCTTTTTACAGTGGGGGGGTTGTTGGTCTGCCAAAGCAACAGCCTCCCCATGATGCAGGATCCCAAACTAGCTTAGAATAGATACAACGATCCCCAGGTGACTAAGTTTCATCATTTCGTGAGGCTCCCCCAGAAGGTACCGGAACATGACGGAAAGCAATTGCGGAAGAGTCACAACATGATCACCATACTTAGGTCCAAAGGAGTCTTTCAGAACAGCTGGAGAGAAGCTCCTGAAGTACAGAGGTACCCCGGGTTAAGAACTTAATTCGTTCTGGAGGTCTGTTCTTAACCTAAAACTGTTCTTAACCTGAGGTACCACTTTAGCTAATGGGGTCTCCCGCTGCTGCCGTGCCGCCGGAGCCCGATTTCTGTTCTCATCCTGAAGCAAAGTTCTTAACTTGAGGTACTGCTTCTGGGTTAGCGGAGTCTGTCACCTGAAGCGTCTGTAACCTGAAGTGTCTGTAACATGAGGTACCACTGTATTGCCTCTGACCATGGTGGGTAAGTAAACACTGCGAGTGATCAATCACAGAAAATGAGGGAGTGAATACAGGGCCCAGTGCATGATGCAGGTACCAGTCTATTTCACCAAGTGGGCTACAAACAGCTTTGGGAAGGGAGCAATTTAGATCAGGAAAGCAGCACAAGGAAAGGGTTAAACATCTTCACCAAAACCATTGCTTTTATCTAAATCAGAGTGTCCTCCTTTCAATGGCTGCTTTAAAGTGAAAAGCAAAGTGTCTGGAGAATTGATAATAGACATGCTGCCTGTTTTGGCTCTAAGATGAGTGGAGAACCTTCTGTGAGGCACGGGGGTAACTGTCCAGTGTGGAACAAAGGCCACCTGCCATTCTGCATAGTTCCTCTACACACACACACACACACACACACACACACACACAAGCTTAGCAGTACCTGCAGGGTACAGAAGTCTTGTCCTCCCTCTATGATGTGAAATGTTTGCTACAGATGCCGCTATTTACCAACCCTTTCTCATTCCCACACTGGGATACATTGCAGCGTGTGTGTCTGATAGGGAGTTGCTCTTTTCACAACACAGAATAGTATGCCAGGTGGTCTATGGTCTTTGCCAGGTGGTCTATAGTCTCTGTGTCTATTTGGACACAAAAGGCCGTTCAGCCCAGCAATGGCCTTCCTGGTAGCGTTGCCACACTATCAGGACTTCCGAAGAATTGACTCAGAAATGGAAACGCATTTATTTATTAAGAACATTTTTTACCCTGCTATTTGACCTGGATTACAATGACCTCATATCTTCCAGTTGTCCTTATTTTCCAGGGACAGTTCCTCCTCTTTTCCTTTGCTTGTTTGGGTAGCATTGTGCTGTTACAAACGTTCTGTCCGCCCAAGCACATCAGCTTCAATGTTCCACCTGTGCAAGGACACCAGCTTGCCAGATGGAACGATTGCCCTTCCTCTCGCAGTTTTCCTGACTCCCTGAGCTAATTTCAGGGGTGCAGCTGGAGGAGGGGGAGAGGCCCCTTTGCTGACAGGGTTTGCTAGATGAATCTTGCCCCCTGTGCCTTTTTAAATATACCTCCCAAAGGCAAATGTAGGGACAGGGCGGTGGGGTTCCCTGGATGAATTCCATTAGTGGAAACCCTGCACAATGGCGATGGGGCTCTCCTCATCTTCTTCCCCCCATGTGCCTGGCGTGCCCCCTGTCTCTGCTGACGTTGGCTCAGAGTTGGGGTGCAGTCAGGAGAGCCCACAGAAAGAGCCTGTAAGAGGACCCTCCAACATTTCGCCAATGAAAATAGGGACATCTCATTCCACAGTGATAATTTTACTACAGTGGTACCTCAGGTTAAGAACTTAATTCGTTCTGGAGGTTCATTCTTAACCTGAAACTGTTCTTAAGCCGAAGCACCACTTTAGCTAATGGGGCCTCCTGCTGCTGCCGTGCCGCCGGAGCCTGATTTCTGTTCTCATCCTGAAGCAAAGTTCTTAACCCAAGGTACTATTTATGGGTTAGCGGAGTCTGTAACCTGAAGCGTATGTAACCTGAAGTGTCTGTAACCCGAGGTACCACTGTATTTATACCCACATCTTCATACTATTTATACACACATCTTACTGGGTTTCCCCAGCCACTCTGGGAGACTTCCAACATATATAAAAACATAATAAACATTAAACATTTTTTTTAAAAAAACTTCCCTATTACTGCCTTCAGACGGCTTGGGGGTTGGATAACTCCTTAACCTCTAACATTTCTCCAATGGAAATAGGGACATATTAAGGAAAAGCAGGACATTCTGGGAGGAAATCATAAACCTAAATCAGGGACATCCCTGGAAAATAGGGACACTTGGAGGGTCTGGGATTATCCAGTGCAGACAGGAAGTTTATTATAGTGCCACATTGAATTCCACCCAGGAGTTCGATTCACCAGAGTCAAGCAACAGAAAATTGGATAAACTATCTTTGAAAATTAGGGACAAGTGGAACGTATGAAGTCATCGTATTCCAGGAGCTTTTTTGGTTGAAACGCAGGATTAAAAATTGAATTGCTCTAAATCAGGGGTTGTCAACCTGGTCCCTACCACCCACTAGTGGACGTTTCAGGATTCTAGGTGGGCGGTGGGGGGTTCCACAGCACAAGCTGAATCCTCCTTCCATTGAGCACTGGTGGGCGGTAAGGAAATTTTACCATGAAGAAAGATGCATTAGTGGGCGGTAGGTATAAAAAGGTTGACTACCCCTGCTCTAAATAATTAAATAATTTTCTCTTTCTGAGTCATCTCTTCAGAAGTCCTGCTGTTGTTGCAATCCTATCAGGAAGAACTCAGCTATTCTTCGTGTCAAAATGTATGCCTTAACCTACATCTCTCAGAGGCAGAACAGACCAGGTATAGCTGGCATTCTGTGATGTGAACCAGGAAGTCCCCAGTGTGGTTCTTCACCAACTACGTGATTGCCCATTCAATTATTAGCCTACCATTGGCATAGTTTGTGGCCTATGAAAAACCTCCCCTCTGCAATATAGGAACACTTTGCTGAGCTACCTTCCTGTGTTCTTGTAAGAATGGATTGCAAGGTGGCAAACTATGCAAAGCAATTAGAACACACCAGAACCCGCTCCATAAATGTTCTTAATGGAGAAGGCACATTGGTTTGCCAGCCTAGTTGCAATTTAATTTAACCTTGATTACTATCCTCTTCCTTTGCCTGGGATAACAGTGTTGGAACTAGCCTTATCCTTAGAAAATATTATCAACCTAAACTTTTTTGGGGGTGGGGGGAGTTGATATGCAGAGCAGATCCTCACCAAATGCCAAGGGTGTGGTGGGGTCTACGTGGGAGGAGGCAGTGCTTGAGGTAGTCACAGAACTGGCCAATTACAGGGTTATAACTGCATTCGTTTGCACAATTACTGCCATTTAATGCTTGAGTGACTTCCTTCTGAGAAAACATGCAAGTAAAATCTATCACCTTGAACTGATCTGTGAAATGAACTGGCAACCAAAATGGTGCACTCTTAATACTGGTCTTATTTGTGATTGGTGTTAGCCAGGTAGGTATGTTCTAGTCCAGTCAAGGAAACCTTTTTGCCCTCAAATGCCATGTGGCAATGGATGGGTAATTGGGGCCCACGTGCCACAGGTGTGGCTGGAGCTATCAGTGGGAGGAGCCATTAATGAACACATTCAAACCCACACACATGCATTCACACACTGTTGGGAAGGACACGCAGGGGGAAGGGAGGATCAACAGCTGTTTGATGGGCTGAAGGAGCACAATTTACATGTCCAGGATGGTGGAGCAGGGGTTTCCCATACAAATCAGGGAAGGTCATAGATGTAAATTGGACTGGGATAGCTTAACTTCTGTTCTCTATGGTCTGATAGCATCTAACTCTAGGTTAATTACTGCAACATGTTAAGTGTGGGGCTGCCTCTGAACTCCAGTTAGTGCAGAAAACAATGGTGCAAACTCGCCAGGGCAAGACATTTTGTGCATATAGTGCCAATCCTGGCTGGATTTCACTGACTGCCAATTGGTTTCCGGGCCGAATTCAAAATGCTGTTTTTGATCTATAAAGACCGCCTGTCCCCATATGAACCAACCCGGACCCTGCAATCATCATCTGAGACCCTTCTTTGTGCCTTCTCCACAAGAAGTCTGGAGGCTGGCAACACAAGAATGGGCCTTTTCTGTGGTGGCTCCCATTTGTGGAATGCTCACCCCAGGGAGGCTTGCCTGGTGCCCTTGTTACATATCTTTAGGGGACAGGCAAAAAATTTCCTCTATTACCAAGCCTTTGACCTTTAACTCTCTGTGGCCTTTTAAAAGTCGATGGGATGTTTTTTAATATATTTATTTTCCCTCTTGATTTTTTTAAAAAAATATTTTTGTTTATGCATTTTCCATTTTTCTTTTTACACATCATGCTTTCTCATCATACAATATTTCTATGCAGACTTCCCTCTTTCCTCTTGATTTTAATGCATCTATGCAGGTGACAGAGGGAGGAGGCGTTCTGCCTGTTTGTAAGTCACATTGGGTTGCCCTGAGCAAGGTAACATAAAGCAACTAACAAATTCAATAAACAACAACAACAACCCCTGTGGGCGCTCTTGTAATATAATTGCCTTTGAGGTTCTTTGAGGACAGTTTGGTATTTCTCCTTTTTGTACATCGTAATGGCAGATCCTCCTGACTATCTCTCTCAAGTAAATTACAGGCAAGGTGAAAAGTTTAACAAGCCCAACAGATCTGCATCTCAGTTTCAATATCTCATTCACTAGGAAGACCACATGATGTCCATGCATGTCACAGCCTGGCACAGAAAGAGGTTCTCCTGGTGTCTTTGAGGTGCCATGATTCAGACGCTGAGTTGTGGTGACTCCTCCCCAAGTCCCAAATCGGGAAAGAGAAACCTCCGATTCACAAACGAGTTCCTCCACATTCACTCCTCGGGGAGCCGCCCTCCTGCCTACCTGCCTGCTTAAAGATCTGACGCAAGGCAAAGGCATGGATACAGAGCGAACCACCCAGCAAACACCCATTGTTCTATAGCTAGGGCTTGTTCATCGTGAGCTTGGGAAGGTCGGAGGCACCAACACCAAATGTCTGGAGAGTTAGCTCCTTGCTGGTTTTGAGGAAGGGAGGTGTGGTGCTTGGGAGGAAAGGGGCAGGATGCTGGTGGGAAAACTCCGGGATCTACAGAAAAGATGGTGTGCTTCAAATGATCTCCATGGACGGGACACCTCTGCAGATCTTTTGACCTGTACGTATCTGTGTAGCATATCCATGTGGTTTTGTTTGTGCTATTACGAATGTGGTTTTATTGTTGATTTTATTCCGCTTGCCACCAAGACATTTTTTCTTACCGTGTGTTGATGGCACAGAAATGTTTACAAACAAACAAAAAGTAAATTAGGAGAAGGGTTGACATTTTTTATTTTGCTTCTGTTTCTAGCTGCATTGTGCTCTTATGTTCTTGGATTACTTAACCTTAGCCTTGAATGTGGGATAGGATGGGTTGCAGCATATTCACATCTAGCTTTTGCAATTTTAAAGTTTCTTTTCCCCAGCCTAAATGGCAAGAATCTCTACAATCTCTCTTTAACGCTAATTTCTGGTCCCCTTGCTTGTGGGAAAGTGTTTGAAAGGCTGTTCAAAAAGTGCTTAAAAAAACAACAACCAGCCCACTATTAATTATTATTTTTATTATCCTTTGGGGGCTTGTTCCTTGGTGTTTCCATACTGAGGTTATTAATTCTGCCACCAGTCTAAATCCACGTGGGCTAATTTATGTATCTGCAGAGGGACTGAAAGGGACCATCTCCACGTGTATATACAACCCACACTTTCTTCCCCTTCTCACCTCATCTTCTTCTGGAGTTCTTAAAAGTATTTGTGTCCTGCTTTTCATCCAGCTGGTAGCTGCATGTGAGCAAGTGGGAAAGGATGTCTGTGACCAAAACCAGTAAGGAGATTCCTGCTGCTGCCCCTTCGGTGGAGTGCCCCGTCTGTTATGAGTCATTTCAGTCTCCGAAAGTGTCGCGCCGGGTGCTGAGCTGTGGGCACGCTTTTTGCCATGACTGTCTGGTCAAGTGCCTTTTGGCATCGCGGGATGAGGGCAGGCTACAGAACTGCCTCACCTGCCCCGTCTGTCGCTTTGTGACCTTCCTCTGCAGGAAGAGAGCCTGCTTGCCTTCCAAGATCTCCTCGAACCCTCCACCTTTGGAGCTGCCTCTCTCACCTTCGTTGCTGTCCTTGGGGCCGGCAAACACTTTAGTGGTGCCTGGCCACTTCTTGATGTCCCTGCGTGGCTACGACAGCCACCAGAATGTGTGTGGCTGCCCTAGCATGGACTCGATGGTGCACCCTGGTGGCTTGGAGCGACAGTTTCACGTCTTCGTTATCACTCAGTGTGGGATGCCGCTGATCGAAGAGAACATTGGTGTCACCGCTCTAAACCACGATGTGGAAGCTGCGGGATCAGTGACATCTCAGAGGTCCCTAATAATGGGCTGCTTCCAATCACCCATTGTCTTGGCAATCCTCCTGGTCTCCACTGTTGCTCTGTTGGGGGCTGTTCTCCCCTGGCTACTACTACTAGAATGAATGGACATGATGAATGGACTTCCCTAGAGGCCTACTCTGCACCCCTCCCCTGCATCTCCTTTTGGGAACCACATGATGAAAAAAGTTATCCCTTTGGCACACCCGCAAAGAATTGCAGGATTCAGGTCGATGGGAGATCCACGAAGGAAACGGAACTACAGGAAATGGTATTTGTACAATCCCTCCCTTGTCATGTATGATGGTATTGCTAAAGTGTGGTTCAGAGGAGCAAGGAAGGTCACCTAGAGACGGGGTCTAAATATCCTGCTGAGGACAATCAGTGTGTTTATTTAATTGTTACATGCATATCCTGCCCTTCAAGGAGCACTTCCAAGGAGCTCAGAGTTGTATTAAAGTTTCCCTGTGAGGTCAGGGTAGATTGAGAGGTGACAACATTTCTCAAGACCAACCAATGAGCTTGACAGCTGAGCAGGGATCTGAGCTCACACCCAAACTCAACATTGTAGCTGCCTCTGGTGCCAGTATCGCATCCAAGGGGATATGGGCTGTGGTGTGCTTGTTTGGAAGGGCTCACTGAACCGATTCAATGTCATTCCACCTCTTACTTCAACACTCATGGTAATTTAATAAGGCATAGCCTTTGTGATAAGCCAAGGGCATCTTGGGTGGTTCCAGCATCATGAAAATCCTTGTTCCACCCAGGCAAATCCAAGCTGTTAGCACATTGCTAACACAGAAGGATTCTCATCCTGTACACCATGTGCTCCTATTGCATTTAATTCTGGGCACACTATAGGTGAGACAGACCCTCCCAGCTGAGATGGAGTAGAATTAACTTAGGTCTCCTGCTCCAGTCATTAGCAATAGCTGCTCTTCATCTGTTATTGCTCTATTGTTGCTGACCCCCATCATCTAGCAGCAGTCTTCATGTTGTGAAGATTTCAATCACATGATGGAATATGTTAATTTTGGTTTCATTTTATTTTTGTACCTTCTGTCCTGTTTTCTACTTTTGATATTGTTGTCACACTAAGATTAATAAAAAGATTTCATTGCTACTCCTTAGCAAATGGACTTCCTTAGATTTCAAGGGTAGTTTTGTCAGATGGTCTTATTTCCTCCCAGGCCTCCTCCTCCTCCCCCTCCTCCTCCTCCTTCTTCAAAACCTGCCCTTGCTTTTGCCTAGGCAGGCAGAGAGGGAGACCTGGCAGTTGTGCATCTAGTTGATGAGCACACAGGTCACAAGCCCCCTCTTCTGGCAGTTAGGAGAACAAGCAATTTATCATTTGAATTGCTCATCCTTAGGTAGGGCTGTGGATTTTCAGTGGTGGGTGGGACTAAGCAGAAAGAGTCCAAGGGTGAGTTCACACAATGTCACCACTATTTCAAGTGATGACTAGCAGCTACACAACAGCTATTGCAGGTCAAAACACAACAGGGGCGTGTGCAGTGGGGATTGTGTAGTGGGAAGTGAGAGAGAGAAAGTCCCATTGTACAAACTGAAGTCATTCCACTCATGCATTTATTTAGTTGAACACGACCCAGAGCTTCCGTGACACATGGCATCACTCAATACTTTTCAGTGGTGTCCTGTTCACACATTCGGCAGACTGTGACGGAAGAGTGGCTTATTTATGTACAGATGTGGATCCACTGTGAGAATCACGGTTTCTAGACTTCATTCATAGGTACCCTGGAAGGCGTTTTCAAGGGCGCTAACATTACCCAGGTTTACATTTCACTTTTATTTGCTGTAAGGAGTGGCTTGATTTATGTGCTTTTTTAAAAAAGCGTTGTGACCTACTTCTCGCTGGTGTGACATGGGGAATGTATCATTGTTATTTCCCATGGGCGGGTTTTGTTTTTTGTTGTTCCTTTTAAAGAAAACTAATTAGCAGCTCTACGTAGCTGCTTCAGATATGAAGTAGTGCCATTCTGGGTGTTTCCTCTCAAACCCTTTTACCAATGAATCTCTCTCTCTCTCTTACACTCACAGGCATATAAACACACCCGGGTTGCCATTAGCTCCATATGGAGAGAGAAAAAGCCAGTACAGATGTTTCCTAAGGAGAAAGAGATAAGTGGAGAGAAACAACAGACAAAAAGTTGTGTGTGGTTACTAAGTCCTTCTAGCTTTTCCCATCTTTTGTTGAGGGAATTTCAGAATTTCCAATGGGCAGAGTTAGGCTGCTGTCAAACGGTGTGCATAATTTGTAGTCCAGCCAAGTGGGCTTGTCTGAGACTTCTTGGTAGCTTTAAAAAAAGTAAACACTCATACCAAATTCACCTACAACTCAATAACTGGATCAAAGAGTGACTCATGCCTACATCGATGTCACAGTAGCTGTGGAACACTAATTTGGAGCGTGGCATCCTGTCTCCCAAAGTGTGCCAACCAATGTTTTGTTTTGAGTGACAACCTCAGCAGCACCTGAAATGAAATAGGGCAAAGCTAAATGGGGCAAGGCAAGAAGGGCACCATGGACAGCTCCGTTTGGGATTGAAGCTGGAGACTCCATAAGAGCAGTGATATTCTAGAGCAGTGTTTCCCAACCTTGTGCCTCCAGCTGTTTTTGGACTACAATTCCCATCATCCCTTGCCACTGGTCTTGCTAGTCAGGGATGATGGGAGTTGTAGTTCAAAAACAGCTGGAGGCACAAGGTTGGGAAACACTGTTCTAGAGGCACTCAATCCTGAGCCTTAAACAGGAGCTGCAGCTCTATCTGTGTAGCTAGTACCACATTCCGCGAGCAAAGCCTCTTCATTAAAGGGGCCCAGCCTGCTTTAGTAGTCATTGATCCTGATGGAAAGTGGGAGCCATTAAGGTGTCTCAGCGTCAGAGGAGGGCCCCCCTGGTGTCCTCAACCCAGAGAGGTACTGGCACAAGAGACTTCTCTTCTGCAGGTGCCTCTGGTTTACAGTGGACTTCTGGAGGCTGTCCCTAGGGGAAATTTCCTCTCCCACTTCAAATCCACAGCCCAAATAGGAGGAGCCCCAATCCTGGTTCATCACATTAGAAGCCCACAAGCTGGACTCAAGTGCAATAGCCCTTTCCTGCTCATGTTCCCCACCACTTGTTATTCAAAGGCATGCTGCCTTTGAACTTAGAGGGGATGTAGCTAACATGCCTAGTAGCCATCTAGTCTTATCCTCTACAAATTAGTCCAAGCATCTTCTAAAGCCATTATAGCAAATTCCATAGTTTAAACGATGTGATATGTGAAGAAGTATTTCCTTTTGCCTTCTAAGATTCAGCTTCAATGGATGGCCCCAAGTTTAAGTATTATGAGAGGGATTTTTTTTATTAAAAAAAACCTATCTACTTTCTCCACACTATCAAACTTCTGTAAAATTGCGCATAGTATGGAGGAAGCAGATAGAGAAAGTAGGTACATGTGAGAGAAGGACTATGAACCTGTCCTGGCTCTGCCTCTATCCAGTCTGATGAATGGAACTACTTCTGGTAATGAAGCCAGAGAGGAAGACTAGAGCCAACTAGGCTGTAGAGGCCTTTCCCCACATGGTCTGGGAAGGCACGGCCCTGATTGACTCCAACTACAAAAACTGAGGCTGCTGAACTTACTTGTGGCATGTGGTATTGTTTCAGTGAGGTGGTTTCCTGTAATTGATATTAATTTCTTGTATCTTTATTTTGGATATTCTTATGATTTATGTTGAAATGGTTCAATGTGTACTTTTTGATGTTTTATTTATTGTTCATAACTACTTTTGTTAAGTTTGTAATTATGTATTTTTTTACATGGTTGTAAGCCGCCTTGAGAATGGTTTTAAGACGGCATACAAATAAAATGACTAATTGATTGATCAACACTAAACATACTATTGCTAGAAATGGGGGTGGGGGTGGCTTCTGGGGGTTCCCAAAACAGCAGTGGCAGTGCAACTCCCCAGTCTTGAGTGCCTGCTCTTTGTCACTTGCTTTGGATATCAGCACATTCAAGCCAGTTTTTCCAAGGTTGCAAAAGAGCAGACCATCTCAGAATGTGCAAAGCTGGCCATGGGCAAGACTTATAGATGTTAACCAGTCTTAGAAAGCACCAGCTGCTAGGTTTAGATGAGCCAGTGGGACAGCAGGGATGTCTATACCTCATCTCCCTGCAAAGTCAAGCTTGGCAGGAGAAACTTCCTTTTTCCTATTGTATTGAGGTTGGAGGATGCACCAAACTCCCAGCGCGGCTGCAGTTCTAGAACATCAGAAACTGTCCTAAACTGAGCTAGATCATTAGTTCATCTAGTTGAGTACTGTTGACATTGACAGGTGCTCTGCCGCTGAGCTCTGGTCCTCCCACCAGGTTTTCAATGTGTTGTTTCTAGAAGACCAACAATGGTAGTACCAATCATGTTCCAGTGGTCCTCCAAGAATGAATGTGACTTGATACCAAAAGCACAAGCAAAATTGTCTGATTTCATGGCTTTTAAATTACAATTCATTAGCTAATTGTTGTTGTTGTTGTTGTTGTTGTTGTTGTTCAAGGACACACATCCCACCCCCCTTTTCAATAAAGGCAGAGGTCAAATTCCTTTCCAGTCTGTCCTCAAGTCTTTCCTGCAGGGAAGTTCATGGTGTCATGCACTGACAATGTTTTGCTTAGATTCATCCTTGTTTGTTTGAGTAGGTGCCTCTCAAGCAAATCGTACAGCCCCATTGCCTCCATTCGGTCCAGAAGCTTTTGTGTTCTGTGGGTTGGGTAGAGAGCAAATGGAAGCAGGTGAAAGAACCCTTTTAGACAATAAAAAAACACACAACGCTCCATGGATTTGATGTATAGTGCTATACACATTTCAGGTTCTATCCAGTGTTGCAACATCCCATCCCTTTTGCTGCGGAGGAATTGTCAGGCTGTGGTTTGCACCTTTAAAAGGGGTGGGGACACAGTTCAGTGGAGCTGGATGAGCTCTATAGTTCTGGCTTTGCAGTATGGGAGGTATGCAGCAGAAAAGAAAAAATAAACAAAAGATTAAAACAAAAGTTTAACAGGACAGGGAAAGGAGACAGCCTTCCTCCTTTTTTAAAGTTTTGGATGAGCTCTTTATACTGGGAAGTATGCAGCTACTATGAACATGAAGAGACATAGCTGTGTACAGCACATCTGAAACATGTTCTTTCTCTCAGAGGATTCTGGGTACTGTAGTTTATCCATCACAGAGGTACAATTCCCAGCAACCCTTAACAAACTACAGTGCCCAGAATTCTTTGAGGGGGAAATGTGCTTTAAAGGTATAGTGCATTCACAGCCCTTACTTAAATGTCTTTAAAAAGTTGACAGAAAAGTGAGTGCATAGGTTGTTGCAGTTGTGTCTCTTAACACTTATGGTGATGGCCTACAGATGTCTCTGATGCTCATGCAGCCCTATTTCACCTGCCAATGGGAAACGTTAGCTAGGGAAGAAATTCATTTCCCCAGTAACAAAACAGTGCATTTTGAGAGCCGGGAAATGCAATATCTCTGCAAAAGAAGTGCAAAAGATCTGAATCACATGCAACAAATAAGTTACAACTGTGCATTTATAATGCAATAAGTTCAACCATGAAGCCAGAAGGCAGCAGCAGTACATGCAGAAGGGCAGTGAGAGACTGATTTTGCTTTCATGTCATGCTTGTCAGAGTCCTAGAAGCACCTGACTGGATTTCTGAAGCCTTCTGTGTGATCTAGCAGGCCTCTTCTTGGGAATTTATGAGAACAGGAACAGTAAACAGCCAACCTGGGAGTTTGGGCCCTTTTCATTCACCCACCCACCCAGAGCCCACTTGGAGACATCTTGCTTGCTTTGCAAGTGTTTCGGTGTGAAACAGTTGGGAGGGGAGTAGTTCAGGACTTCTGTTATCACAGCTCCAACCCAAGAGGAAGGTTGAAAAGTACACCGTTATCTCTGAAACAAGATACACCAAGGTGCAGGATGGCAACCTTCCTTTCCTTGGCAAATGATATGACTTGATTGCAGCGTGGCATGGAGCCAACGCTAAATCAACCCCTAGGATTGCATGACATGGATATAATACCCTGTCGGTCATCTTCCAGTTGCTGTTATCTGTCTTGTCTCCAGACTACGT